CACCGCCACCGCCTCCGCCTCCGCCTCCGCCTCCGCCACCGCCACCGCCACTGCCGCCACCTCCTTCGCCTCCGCCCACGCCCCCGCGGGCGCGCGTGCGTTTTCTCCCGCCATTCCGCTCCGCCCCCTCGCTGACGCACGCGGCGCGCGTTTGCTTGCAGCCAATGCTCGAGCATGTCGGACGGCGAGCAGTTCGAGTGCTACGGGGAGAACGTGGAGCTGGAGCTGGAGCCCGAGTCGCCGCCGCGGCCGCAGAACGGCGTCAACGGGTGAGTCGCCGCGCGCCGCTTCGCGCCGGCCCGTCTGCCCGCCGCGTCGCGTGAGGGAGAAGGCTGGGATGGAGGGGAGGGGGTTTCTTCCCTGCACTGTCGGAAATGTCATTTAAATTTAATGTAGGTTAATGTATTGTACATGAAAATTGAATGTACCTTGTACATTAATGTTAAATGTACCTTGTACATTAAAGTTAAATGTACCATGTACATTAAAGTTAAATGTACCATGTACATTAAAGTTAAATGTACCCTGTACATTAAAGTTAAATGTACCCTGTACATTAAAAAGTGCTTAATATGCATTAAATTTAATGCTTAAATTAAAATCAGTGTAGATTTAATGTAGAGGTTATCCTGTTTCCGCCGCCTCTCATCACTCACACCACATATTCATAATCACCAGTCCATCAAGATAATGTATTCCTTCCGGATACGATCGTGAAGCTTTGACTATGTGTATATTAAATGTAAAGTAATGTGTATATTAAATGTAAAGTATGTTCGTGATAGTTACTTATATATTTTTTTTATTAAATAATGCAAACAATTTTGACAGTGTGGTGCGTAAGAAGAGCGTCATATGTAGGCCTTCCACATCTCATCGATGCTGGAAATTGTCTTCGAAAATAGTGAAGTTTCATTGGTAGAAATTTTACAAACATAATTCACAAGGCCGCCAATATATAGTTTGTTTTTGTGACCGCGAAATAAATTCGTCGATGTAAATCTTTCTTCTGCGAAACAACGTTTGAGATGTCACTTTTGTGGTGTGGTGACGATCATTGACAAGATGTTTGTTTGTACAAGTGTCGCAATGAGGGAAGGGGCGGGGAGAATGAAATTGTGGAAGGTTGCTTTGGGCGAAAGGAGTGGGGTCTTAGGTGAGTCTAAAAAAGAGCGTACTCCACATCGTTTCATTGTGTTAAAAGTTGTTTCCGCAAGTGGTTTACTGGAGAGCGTGCCCACTAACCACAGAAATGTTCCTAGGTTTAAATTCCGAATAAGCGTGTTAGTTATGGGTGGTGCCGGTAAAAATATTAATGACAGATCTGGAAGTTACCGCATTTTCTCCTCCCACGATTGGCAACCTCGGTTCCATATAAATCGCCCTTCCTTTTTTCCAAAGTTTTATTGGTAAGCGCGCTCACCGCCTAAACCGGCTATTGCAGCTTGAATCACAACCAACCAACGAGTGATCAGTGGTGATCGAAGCGGTACCCACGCACCTAGTTCAGTTGCCTTCTCTGCGTATGACGTCATTCAGTTTTGAGTCACAATCTTTTACGAGGTGCAACAACCTACCCTGTCCTTCACTCATGTCCCTGAAGTTTAAATTGTATATGCATTCCGTACTTTTAAACTTTCCTCAGGAATGATTATGTGATGAAGAAAACACTTTGCAAAGTTGATAAAGTTAATACTGGCGGAATCACAGTCACCATACGGATTCTAAAAGTAGAAACATTTTACAGTAACTTTGTCGAATTAAATTACATTTCAATAAATGTTCAAAATAGAAGCAAAATAGCACATATCTGTGTATACAGCAAAGCCACTGTGAATACACGATGGCACATACCTGTGTATACGAAACGAAGTTGTTTCTTCGGTAATCTGTAAAACTTCGTAAAATGTTGAGCTGCAACGTTCTTTCTTCTACCCTTTAAACCCTTCTCGCCTTTATATTTTCCGTCGTCCCTGCCCGTCCCTGCCCGTCCCTGCCCGTCCCTGCCCGTCCCTGCCCGTCCCTGCCCGTCCCTG